TTCCAAGTCTTTTATCTGTTTCAACTTGTACCATTTTTATTGCCCTCTTCATGTTGACTAGTCTTTTATGCCATGCTTGCTGTAATGTTAATCCCATCCAGTGATTTTTCATTTCAAACATTCTAGTTTTCATCTCCAGATGACAATTTAATTGAGAACTTGCTCCACGTTGTGGGTGAAGACAACGGGTAAAGGAAATGGGAAAGAGCCATTGGGGACCTGGAAAGACAGGGTAATGGTGGGCACAGTCCAACGGTGATTAACTTTATAAAACATAATGAACGGGAATGACTATATGAAGCACAATGTGAATAATGTGAAAGCAAACCAATATAAAAAATTGGAAGAATCTGTCTGGAAAACAATGTATTCAAAATGTGTGAATAAACTGTTGTTGTCAAGTGCCGTCAATTCGTAGACAACTCATAGCAAACCTATAAACAAAAGACCTGATCACTGTTCATAGAGTTTCCAGAGGTAAGCAATTTTAGAAGTGGATGCCACTCCTGCTTCCAAGCTTGTTTTAATCGGGAAGCTCCACCAAACACTGTCCACCATGGGTAACCATTTTCACATTTGACACATCAATGTCACAGTGTTTGGCTTCACAGCAACCATGAGTTACCTCTATACAGCAATGCACAGACCAGTGCTATACCACGTAGAAGAATGTTTAACAAAAAACAATTTAAACCAGGCCTGAGTGCCACAGATTAAAATCACCCACCTTGGGCTTGGCAGCATGACTTTCTGTCTGCTGGGCCTGTGTGACTCTCTGTTTTGTCATTGTTATTGTTGTTAATAATAATAAAGAAGATGGAAGGAATAAACAATCTTGCTGTATTAAAAAGAATGATCTGACACCAACTCTTCAGGACATAGCAGGTGACCAAAACCAAAGGTAACAAAGGAAGACATTTAAGCTGCACTGAAGGCATTGGTAAAAAATAAGGCCGCAGGAACTGATGGAAGACCAGTTGGCATGTTCTAACAAACATAGGCAGCCCTGGACATGCTCACGAGTTTGTGCTAGGAAATCTGGAAGACAGCTGACTAGAAAAGATCCATATGTTACTAGTTCCAAAAAAAAGAGGTGATACGACAGAATGTGGAAACTATTGGACAATATCATTAATATCATGTGCAGGCAAAATCTTGCTGAAGATTATTTAAAAACAGCTAGAACAGTACATTGACAGAGAAGTGCCAGAAATCCAAGCTGGAAAAGGCCATAATGTTAGATAGATGTTGGCCAAAAGCACAGAATATCAGAAAGATAGTTTACTGACTGTGAAAAGGTATTTGACTATGTAGATCACAACAAATTATGGTTAACATCGAGAAGAATGTGAATTCTAGAACACATAATTGTGCTCCTGAGAAACCTCTACCTAGAACACGAGGCTATTGTCCAAACAGAACAAGGGAACAGTGTACAGTTTAAAATCAAGAAAGGTGTGTGTCAGGGCTGTATCTTTTCTTCATACCTATTTCAATGTGAAAGCTAAAAGGGTCAGATGAGAAGGGCAGCTTTACAAGGAATGTGGCAGCAAGATTGGAGGAAGACTCATCAGCCTGTATTATGCAGATGACAGATTGCTTGCTGAAAGTGAAAAAGATTTAAAGCACTTGCTGTAAAATATTAAAGACTTCAATATGAATTAAATCAGCAGAAGTGGCATCAATTTCCTAAATAGCATGCCTTTGGAAACCCTATGAACTTTTATAACTGTTGATAGTTGTAGAGGGGCTTCAAGCCTTTTGTTCATAGGGTCGCTATGAGTTGTGTTCGACTCAAAGGCAATCAACAACAACACTGAACATCATGAAAATTTAAATCCTGGCTAGTGGGCCAATAGACAATCTTATAATAGACAGAGAAAAGATTGATGCTGCCAGTGATGCCATCTTACTTTTATCCACAATCAACATCCTGGGTACCAACAGATTTGATTTTGAAATCAAAAGATGGGTCACAGTGAGAAAAATCTGCTGTCAGAGACCTTTCCAAAGTGCTGAAGAGTAAAGATGCCAATGTAAAGACTTGGGTGCTCATGGTCTTTTCAATCAATTTCTGTGCATCTGAAAATTACACAATGTGTAAAGATGACAGAAGAAAAGATGGCTTTGGGTTGTGGTGTTGGGAAAGAGTACTGGATATCTCGTGGACTGCCAAACAAACAAGTAAGTCTTGGAGAAAGTGCAACTAGGTTGCTTCTTTGAGAATGTTGTCAGGAGGGTCGAGTCCTTGGAGAAGGGCATCGTGAGTCAGTTTACGAGAGGAATACCCTCAACAATATGAGCTGATACAGTGACTGCAGCAGTGGGCACAAGCATGTCAGAGATGATGAGGATGGCACAGGAAAGGACGAAATCAGATCTGTTGTCCGTAGGGTTGCTATGAGTCCTACTTGACTAAATGACACGTAACAACAACATTCCAGTGAATAAGTAAGACCAAAGAAGACTTACAGTATTGGCCAAGAATATTGGCTATACCACGGGCTGCCCAAAGCATAAATAAACCTGTCTTCAATGAAATACATACAACCTGCTCCTTAGAAGTGCGGGTGAGACTTCAGCCAGCCTACTCTGGCTATGTTAGTATAAGAGAACAGTCCCTGAAGGAAGCCATTCCTGGTGAAATTGAGCATTAAGTGGAAAAGAGGAAGTCTCTTAATTAGTAGATTAATGCCCGGTGACAACAGGCTCAAATGTAGCCTTCACTGTGAAGTTGCAGAGGACCGAGGCGTGTTTTTTTGTTCTGTTGTACAAAGACCACCACACGTCAGAACTCACCTGACATCACGTAGCAGCAGCAGGAGTTAGCTAGAGGGAGAAATAAATCAGCTGTATCTTTATCCTAGTCCATAAAAGACTTGGGACTAAATTTAAGCAGCTAGGGAAAAAAAAAGAAATAATACCATCTCCAAGTTCTAACCTCAGCAGTACTTCGTTCTCTTGTTGTGGTTGCTACTAGCCGTCATGGCAGGTCCACCTCACGGTAACCTTTCCGGATAATGTACACTAAGTGCCATCTCAGCCTCTGCCATTTTCATGATCATTGGTAGGACTGAGGCTACTGTGGCTACTCTTGTCCATCTAACCATTGAAGGGTTCCCTCATTGTTGCTGACTTTTCCTTTACCAGCTATGATTCTCTGTTACAGTCTTCCCAGGTGGCATAACTCAGGTAAACAATCCAGATCTTTACCAGCCTCCTTTTAAAGAAGCATTCAGGTGGTGGTGCTTTTTTTTTTTTTTCCCCTGGCTAGTCCTTTGGGATTCTTTTCCAACACCACGGCTGTGAAACATTAGTGCTTCTTCTGTATTCTGTCTTCATTATCCTGCTTTCAAATGCATAGGAGGCGATTGAAAAGACTATGACTTGGGTCAGGCACGCCTTCATCCTCAAAATAGCATCTTTGCTTTTTAAAATCTAAAGAGGCGTCTTCCCCCCCCCCCATGGTCAAATTTTAATTTGTAAGAGATTATTCTGGAAGCAATGTGGAGAAGAGTTTTGAGGGACTAAGATTGGGAAGTGAGGCCTTAGACTGAGAGGATGGACTGTAGTAGAACAAACGGTAAAAAGACAGGGAAAGTATGAAAGGCATTGGCTCGAAAACATGAGGGGAAGCTTGGCATTGAGTCAAGGAATTTCTTATTCTGAGATTGAAATAGACATTCTGATGCAGGTAGTGTTCTGTCAGTGTGTGTGTGTGTGTGTGTGTGTGTGTGTGTGTGGATTTGAGGTTTGTGTATCCACTTCAGACCTAACAACAACAACAACACATTTGCTTCAGAGAAAATAAATGAGAGCAATCTTGCAAAATGCGTAATTCTTACCTTGATCTGTATTTTCTTTGTGCCTCTTGCAGCCCATTTGCCCAATGAATGGGAGTTTGGTTTTTTGATTGCTGTGCTCACGGACGTTGATTGCCTAGCTAAATAGAGCAAAGCCGTTGGTGGGTTTTTGTTGGTTTTTTTTTTGTTGTTGTTGTTTTTTGTTTGTTTGGGTTTTTTTTAGCTGTTGGTGTTTTTATTTTTTACTCTCACCTCAATGCCACATTCTTCATCCCACCCTCTCCATTTCATTTCAAACATTCGAGCCTTTGCACATACTGTCCCTTCTGCCTGGAATACTCTCATTCCTTCTCCATCTGGCAAACCCGTTAAAGTCCAGCTGAAAGCAATTCTCCTTCTCAAACTGCACTTAGTTTCATTCTTTATGGGTGAACTCTCTCTGGGGGAGGAGAAGTGAAAAGCTTGAGGGAACGAAGGAAGAGAAACCAGGAAGCAGTTACCAAGGTAAGAAAGGAGAGAGGAAAAGATGAGTAAGGCTTCAGCTAATGCTAAAAATCAGGCCTTACTGAGGCCTTGAAAAGACCTTCTGTCTCAAATACTGTGCTGCATTGAAAAACAAGGAACTCAAGCAATATTATTCAAAATGGGTGACCCTGGAGGACGTGATGCTGAGTGAAATATCTCAGTCACAAAAGGACAAATACTACATAGTGCCACTGTTGTAGAATGAGGCTGACATCAGGGTTTGGGTGAGACTGAGAAAAATTGGATAAATTATGTATACTGCATTGAAACAAATGAGAGAGAGAACAGTTTAAAAGCAATATATAATAGGGTATTATGGTTATCACAGGAGTCCAGAATGAAGGTTGCATAGTGGAGTGTACTTGGGGCAGGGGCGGGGGCGGGGGCGGGGGAAGGAGTGTATACCAATGAAGGAATTTTTCTTTTACTTTTCAAAGAGAAGAGCGAACTGGGGGGGTGGCGGGGGAAGAGGGGTGGGCAGGGAGAAAAATGCAATAATGAGTGAATGGAAATCCAAAATCTCTGTAAACGTTCATTAACATTAATAAAATATTTTTTTTTAAAAAAAAGACCTTCTGTCTCAGACCAGTACAGCTTTGAAGCCCGTGCATTAATTCAGCCCTCATCCTCTTTCTGCCTCCCACACACCGCACCTGTACCATCTCATTTCAGAGATAGACATGAAGGATGTGTACGCCATAGAGTCTTCTCACCGGGGAAATGCATACCGTCGGCAGAGCAGTTTAGAACCCACATTCCAGGATGGCTTCTTTTCCCAAAGGAGGAGCACCGTCATGAGAGACTGGATGATCAAAACCCCCGAAAACCCCTATGAGCACAAGCTGAAGTCCCTGATGGAGAAAGGGACAGAGCCCAAAATGGAGAGCATCAAAATGCTGAAGCCAGAGGAGGTGTTGAGCTGCAGGTGAGAGGTCCCAAGGAGACACAAAGGAAGGCACTCTGCCCACAGCTGCCTTTGTCATCCTTGCGCAGGGCCCGTGCTAATCTTCTCTGTATCATCCCAATTTTAGTCTAAGTGCTGCCAAAGCGAGCTCTCCATTGCTGCCTTTGGTTGAGAAAGTTGGGCTGGAACCCGACAATCTGGAAAGGTGGCCTGGAATCATTGACGTTTCTGAGCAATGGCCCTACTTCTGTTGTTTTTTGTTAAGTGCCGTCAAGTCAGACCAACTCATAGTCTCCCGTGGGTTTGCAGAAGTAGCAAATCACATAAGAGCTGATTGCCCAACTTTCTCCCATGAAGCAGCGGTTCATTTGAACCATGTGCCTCTGGGTTGGTGGAGCAAATCCTTGCCACTAAGCCACCAGAGCTCAAGCCACTAGAGACCTCTCCACTCCTTGGCATTCAAAAGAGAAGTCACCAAATTGACTTGCAAGGAGTTACGTCTCTGTGATGTGTCTGTTGTATACAGTCTTTGTTAGCAGCGTAAATATCTGGAAAGCCAGTGCCTTGCAGAATTCCCATATTCCTGGCTGCTAAAAATCTCAGCTCATTTCAGTCGTGGCTTCTCACTCAGCTGACCTCTTCGGCTTTCTCTTATGCAGATACTTGAGACTGTCCAAGAACAACATCAAGACCTTGCTCAAGCTGTGCAAAGATGCAGGGTTGAACGTGGACATCCACCCCCACATGATTGAAGGAGAGATTGATGCTAAAATGGTGTTTTCTAGAAACCCCAGCACAGCCCTTTAAGCAGTCCCTTTTTGTGCTGTCTCAGGCTCCGTCTGTCCTGAGACCCTTGACCCACCAGATGTCATCTCTCACATCCTTCACCCTTTAGACTTGCTGAATCCCTTTGAAGACAGTAGCAATCAATAAACAAACATGGACAGCATGTTATTGTAATGATCCTTAGAGTCGACTATGACTCATGGTCACTATGTACAATAGCTCTGAACCCTGCCCTCTCTTGAGCCAATCTCAATGTCTCTGACATACCTGCTCCCACTGCCGCAGTCACTGTGTCAATCCATCTCGCCCGGGGTCTTCCTCTCCTGCGCTTTCCCTCCACCCTTCCCAGTGTGATGTTCCTCTCCAAGGACTGGTCCCTCCTGGCCACGTGCCCAAAGTATGAGAGATGGCTCTTCACAGTCCTTACCTCCAAGGAGCAACCTGGTTTCAGCTACACAAATCAGAGCCAACTTTTTGAAAGAAATCCCCTTTTATCCTCACCCAAGAGAAAAAGACACCTCCCAAAACCAAAACATTTGTTGCCCTTCTTCAATGGAAAGTCCGAGAAGGAATAAGACATGATGGTGGACAGTCCCCAGAGTGGTCCTCCAGAACAGACAGAGGCTGGAGAGGACACTTGTATCCTAAACCTCACCTCTGTGTGTTCTGGGCAAAGCCTTATGTGGAGCTGATTGGCTTGTGCAGAGGGTGGATAGAACCTCTCCGCATATCAAAACGGAAGGGACACTTTGGGTGCTGACAGCTGCAGGGCTCCTCAAGGGGACCTACTACTTTTCAGAGCCGGTAGGTACCATAGCATCATAAAGCCCAGGAGTTTATTAGTCACCTGAAGAAGCCAAGAGGATAAAGGATTCGCTCAGAGCAGCACAGATGAGGGATGGAAGATCTAGGATGACAACAGGTCCCTGGGTTGTGCACATGGTTTGCATCCAGTTATTAGTATAAATGCTGTTCATTTGAACCCACTCCTTGGCACTACAGAGGAAAGGCCTAATGATATGCCCATATAAAGCCTATATCTGAGTCAGTCCTATGGGGCTCTGTAACCTCTGTGGTGACCAGGGATCAGAACAGACTCGCTAACAGCCAGGTTGAGTATTTGATTTTTGGGATGAGGGCACTGTCTTTGACAGGTGTGCCGCCTTCTTGTCTGATGGAAATGCTGGAAATAACAATCCTACAGGGTTGGTCCTAGACGGTTTTTCTCCACATCCTGGTACAGCTCCAGGTGAGCTTACAAACTCAGACTCTTCTCCTTACTGTCTTCAGACTTTAAGCAAGGAACTTTACTTCTCTTGACCTTTGCTTTCTCCTTTGGGAAATGGGGCTAACTAGTACCTCCTGTGCACAGATGCTGTGAAAAGTAATTCGTTTTCTCATGAAACATGAAGCATAGTCCTTGAAACACCAGAGCTAAAGAGAAGTATGAGCTGTCTGCACAGTCCACAGTCCTCAGGAGGTGTCCTCAAAACTGGGCGTGTTGTTGTAGAACCATATCCTGCTGAAAGCCACTGACACCAACCCTAAGTCCCTTTATAATCAAATCCATTTCTGTAGAGTCACCTTTGACTAATATCAGAGCAGAACTGTGCCCCATAGGGTTCCGGAAGACAGATTATTTCTGGAAGCAGAACACCAGGCCTCTGCTGAGGGACTGCTGCATAGACTCAAGCCACACCAAGCTTTCAGTTAATAGCAAGTGTGTTAACCTTTTGCACCAATACCCAGGGACTCCTTAAGTCCCTTTATGACAAACCCCTGAATCAAATAGTCCACAAATGCAAATGCCCCCTCCACGTTCCAGCTGGGCCAGCACTAATATGATATGGATCTTCATATGTTTTTTATTTGCCACACTCTCCTAGGGATCTAAAGTGACCCCTTGATAGATGAGGAGCTCTCCACTGATCAAGGTGGAACCCTGCAGTCTCCATAACCACCTGGCCCCAAGCCCACTTGAGAGATATAACGACCTTTAAAAGGTGCGCCTAACCCAGGACATGATCTTCACAATTACTTGCTATGCATCAGAGACCTAGACGATGATTAAGGATGATAAAAGAAGAATTGATGCCTTTAAGCTGTGGTGCTGGAGAAGAATACTGAATATACCATGAACTGCTAGGAGAACAAACAGGTTGGTCCTAAAGAGGGTGAAACCAGGCTGCTTTTTGGAAGCAAGGATTCTGAAGCTCTCTCTCACATATGTTGGACATGTTGCCAGGAGGGACTAGTCCTTGGAGAGGGACGTTGTGCTTGGGAGAGTGGAGGGACAGCACAAGAGAGGAAGACTGGATGAGACGAATTAACTCAGTGGCTTGCGTCACGGGAGTAGGTGTGTCAGAGACGATGAAATTGGCTCAGGATAGAGCAGGATTCAGAGATGTTGTACACAGGGTTGTTATGAGTCGGAGTTGACTTGATGTCACATAACAACATCAACCAACCCATCAGTCAACAACCAGAGTATTCATGTGTTCCTCTCAAATACCCACTTATTAACGCCTCCTTTGGGAGACTCTGATTGTATGGTCCGGGGAGTTGCACTGCTAACACAAAGATTCAAATCCTCTAGCAACTTTAATCTACCAATGGCTTTAAGGGGGGGGTGGGACAGGAATGGAATGGGCAATCTCTTCCCACATAATTTACATCTTCTGAAAACCTGCTGGAGGTTCAGCTATGAGTCGGTTCTAGCTTGATGACAATGAGTTTTATTGGAGCCTTCAAAAACAAGAAAGAAATAATTTCTGAACTTCAAGTTTTAGGCAGTTCATTAAACATTAAAACAAGCAATAAGGGAATCTTCTTGGAAAAATTCTCACTCCAGTTTCTGCCACCAGCCTCTATTCCTGCACTCCTAAGTTAGCTTCCATTCAGGAAGACCTTTCTACATTTCTATTCCACCTGTCTCCTGCTGCAATTTGTATCTGTGTTGTACCGCTCTAGCCACTGTGGAACAGAAGTAGCTAATCTCCCTGTTTAAGTAACTATTCAGATTTTCAGTACTGTATCATAAGGTTTGAAATTGCTTTTCAGTTCTCTCAACTTGAGAAAGACAGTGTGTTTTTCTTTTTTTTATTTTCTAACTCCAGTTCCTTGCACATTTTGTTAAACTGCTTTGTCTTCTCAATCTGCCTTTTGAAATCTATTTCTCTCTTTAATCAGAAATCGCTTTCCTTTGTTTTGGCCCCTCTACATTTTACCATAATTTTCAGAGTATATTCTGATATCCATTTTGGTCTTTTCTTTCTCGCCTGTCATTGTAATGACTTTTTACTTTCTTCTTGGATGATATCCTTGAAGGCATCCCATGAATTCATCTGATCTTGGATAATTAGTCATCAGTGCTCTTGAGATGGTTTTCAAATTCAAGTGGTGTATATATTCAACATCATATTTTTATTCTTGTGAACTTGTTTTCATTTTCTTCAACTTCAGTTTGAACTTGAACATGAGTAATTGATTATTTGTTCCACAATCAGCCGCTGGCATTGTTTTGACTGCTGCTATTAAGCTTCTTCATATGCTTTCAGATGCAGTCAGTCTGATACCTGTGTAATCCATCAGGTGAGAACTATGTGCATAGTTGCTGTTTATATTTTCTTTAAAAAGGTATTTATACTTAATAAACTATTTACTGCCCAAAATTATATCCCTCAGTTTCCAGCTTTATTTCTGTCAAGAAATTAATAGTTTTTCAACTACCAGTCCTTCTTTTTTTACCCCAACTTTTGTATTCCAGTCAGCAGTTACTATTTATGCACCTTCATTGAATGCTTGATCTAGATCAGGTTGCAAAAGTTGGCTGTTATTGTTGTTAGGTGCCATTGAGTTGAGTCCGACTCATAGGACCCTATCAACAGCCAAGCTGAACCTTACCCTCTCCCGTGCCATCTTCATCAACTCTAACACACTCGGATCATTTAAGCCACTGTGTCAATCCATATAGTTGGGGATCTTCCTCTCCTCCAGTGACACTCCATCTTTCCAAGCACGATATCACTTTCCAAAGAATAGCCTCTACTAGCTACATGTGCAAAGTATGACAGATGAAACTGCCATCCTTGCCTCCAAGAAGCACTCTAACTGCACCTTTTCCAAGACACACCTGTTTGTTCTTTTGACAGCCCATGGGATATTCAGTGCTCTTCTCCAACATCACAACTCAAATGCCTTAATTCTTCTTCTTCTGTCATTTCTATTCATTGTCCAGCTCTCTGATGCATAGCAAATACTTAAGAACAGCGTGACCTGAATCAGACATACCTAGGTTTTCACACTGACATCATTGCTCTTGAGTATTTTGGAGAGGTCTGTGATGGTCATTCCCAGTGTAGTATGCCTCCTGATTTCCTGACGGCTGGTAACAAGGGTGCTGATTATTGATCCAATCACGATGAAATCATTGACAGCTTCAATTCTTTCTCCATCTATCATAATGCTGACTGTTGGGCCTATGGTGAGGACTTTTGTTTCTTGATGTTGTGATGTCTGGAGGGTTTGATCTTCTGCAGCAAGCATATCATTTCCTCCTCTCTTTCAGCAAGCAAAGTGTGTCATCTGCATAATACAAGCTCTTGATGAGTCTTCCTCCATTCCTGATGCCACATTCTTCTTCATAGAGTCTGGCTTCATGAATTATTTGCTTAGTATACAGATTGAATAAGTATGGAAAAAGGATACAAACCTGACACACACCCTTCTTGATCAATGAAAGTCCTCAATTTTTTTTTTTCATTTTTGGCTTTAGTGATTGGTGCATATATCTGAATAATAGTTGTATTAACAACGCTTACTTATATGCATATGGATACATCCTATCACTCAGCATTATACTTCAGGATAGTTCTTGAAATGTCTTTTTTTACCATGAATGCAACACTATTCTTCCTCAATTTGTCATTCTTAGGATACTATTTCATATGATTGTTGGATCCAGAGTGGCCAGTAGCAGTCTAGCTCAGCTTACTAATGTCTAGGATGTAAATCTTTGTTCC